AACCTGCTCTGTGCCACTGAGCTTCACGTGTTGGAGCTCGCCCTCCGTGCGGCGTACTACGGCCGCGGCGCTGGAGCTCCCGCTTGCCGATTTGTGCAGCACCTCGTCCGTCAACCTCGGCCCTCTTGCCTAGAAGCAACTCGATCTACTGTGTCGTCGCAATGGAGGTAGGGATCAGTGGGGATCAGCAACAGAGGTGGCAGATCGGTGGCGAGGCAGGTGGGAAAAGCCGCGAGACGAAGGGATAAGGAAGAGAGAGATGCGAGTGAAGCGGTGGGCTGGGGCGCTGGCTGTTCGGTTTGGTGGGAGGGTAGTTTCGTCCAAAATCGCTTGGGGAGGGAGATACGCACTACATTGCGGAATATCTCTAAAAAACTTATACGCACTATATTTAGGAATGGAGGGAGTACTAAATTAATGACATGCCATTCTTGCATAATTGGCATGACTCAACTATTACTGGGTAACAGTTAACATCAATACTATATATAACATATTTGGTTGATTGCAACAGTCGTAATAAAATTGCAGTTTTCACTCGATCCATACCGTTGCTGAAAGGAGGACAATGTTAATGTGCTTTGGGAGCATTATAATAACTTCCTCCCAAACTACACCTCTCTCGGCATCATTCACATAATGCACTTCATCAAATATTACCTGATTGCATCATTAATCACACATCAGAAACATGAAGCATGATCCCTTAGGCCTTGTTCGGTTGCTTAGGATTTCAAGGGGTTCGAAGGGGATTGGAAGGAATTAAATCCCCAGCAAGTCAAAATCCACCTCAAACCCCTCCAATCCTCTCCAATCCCCTTGTGGTGGGGATTAACCGAACAAGCCCTTAACAAGATTGCAAAAATGTGAAGTGAAAAGTGAAAAACAGAGCATATTACACTAAGAAAAAATAATCAGAAATACAATGACATACCCATTCAATATCCCGTATAATATCAGCACCTCTGTAGAGCATTGAGCGCAATATTTCTGTTGTCATAATTAAGCAAGTTGCCTCTGGTCTGATGCTAACATCTCCAGTAAGAAGTCCCACATCAAACTTCCCGCAGAAATCTCGGTATTTCTGGTTGCTGATAGTCTTAATGGGAGCAGTATAGACAGCCCTGGTGCAATGCTGCACAATAACGTCTGTTATCATAGTGTCCACACTTACATTCCTTCTATCGAGACATGTCATAATATGTTTGGGAGGGCCTGAATAAACTGCTACAGTACATGGAGAAATAGTGTAACAAAGTATGCAATACTCTAGACATAAATCTACTAACAAAAGTAAAAGTGAGCGTGATTCAGGAATACTGTGTACTTCTCAAAGCAGCTATAGGTAATAAATAGTAAGCTAGAGATCTCCTAACTCAAGCACATTGCTGTCAAGCACATTGCTAACCGCAAATAACAGAGTAAATAAGAAGAATGAAAGGCCGCAGTTTCGAAAAAATATACAGAAAAGAATCAGTGAAGTCAGCCGTACTTTTGATGCTAAAGCAAAGGCATACTCTGCAACAACCGTCTTTCCTGCTGATGTATGGGCTGCCACAAAGACTGATTCCCCCTTCTCAAGATAATATATAGCCTATTTATGGTAAATACAAAGAATACAGGTTAGCAATTGTATCAAGCATTAAGTAACATACTATTCTAACCATAAGGTGATAGCAATTAGGGATTGCTCTTGCTTGTATGCATAACTTTGATAGGAAGTATATGAAGGGGACACCCCTTCTTGCTTCATGTTTCCTTTCGTTCGAAATTTATATGGCAGTCTTGTGTCCCAAAAGGGCCAAAGACAAGGAACAAATAGAAATGGAATGTACCATTTGCAGCTATCATAATACGTAATTTGTTTCCATATGTAGTCAATGTGTGAGCCGTAAGTATGAACACAAGTGTCTGGATGTGATGGATAGAGAATTTGGAAGGGATGCTGAATTCCTAGACTCCTAGTCTATCGACCTCTCAGTATTTCACAAGATGGTGGTAAAATCATATGAGTGCAAATTTATTAGTTCTTAGCACATAATTCTGTATCATGCATAAACCTGAAGCCCTTCAAAACGTGAATGAGCTTTGTCAGAACTATGGTTGAGACTTCAAAACACATAGTTATTCACAGTTTTCAGGGCATAAGGAGAAGGTTAAGACGACAGCTTCAAGTTTCTTAATGTTGATAACTCGCATGCACAAAGAAAGTTTGTGCCATCCTAAGTAATACCAATACAAATTTAAAAATTCTTTCATATAGTTGCTAGGTAAATTGAAATTGGATGTTTTCTGTTCGTGGTAATTGACAAGGCAAATGGTGTAGACGGTCAAAGCACAGAGATATGGTACCACACTATCACCGATTTACTGGTGCATGAACCCACTACACAAGCATGTGGCATGGTTGTGCCTATTGAACATCATGTTAAAAGAAATGTGGTTCATGCTCTTAAACAGCATAACACACTAGATGCTCATCAGCATAGGAAACTTCAAATATTCAGATAAAGGTACAGATGCTAATGAGAATTTTACCTCCTTCTGGAACTTATCCAATTCAAAGGGATATTCAATTGCCATATCTGGAACAAGTTTGTGGAAGTTTGTCACAATAGAATTATCCCCAACAACGAGTGCCCAATCCTATTGAGTGAAATGGAAACAAATAACAATCAGTGGTTCGGTTTTCTTCAGAAATGTTGCTGCTTCTGCAACACCAAGCACCAATGAAGATAATGGAATAAGAAACACAACAGATGCAAAGAGTCGCATTTTTTTTATTAATGTGCGCCTACCGTGCCCTCCTGTGCTGGCTTATCATCAACTAATCCACTTGTTTCTCTGCGGGTATCTTTCACTTCAGATGATAACATTTTATCCAAGTCCGTTTGAGCTTCAGAAATATCTCCTCTGATATTAGCTTCCTGTTTGTCAGTATCTGCCATTGTAAGAGTTTCAGAAGCATCTTGCAACTTATCAACCTTTCGTTCATTGACATCTACAAATGGGAAATGGGAGGATTAACACGGAACCGGATAAGACTTAATAGCATTGAGAAACACATGTAGCCTATATACAGTTTTTTCTTTAAGTAACCGTAATTTATATATGTTTTTTTTTCACAAGAAACCATACTCTATACATAGTAGTAACGGGCATTTTATCAATTACTTCATATTCCATCTCTAAGTGTAGGTTTTTGTGTGATCCTTGCGGACTGCATTTTCAAACTTTGGTCTATCTTAGAAATGCTTTCATAATACATTTCTTTTGTCTTTTGCTAGTATTAAAAAACATATTCAAATTATTGCATTGATACTGTGAAAAGTCAAAATGGCATATCTGTAGGTGTAGAAAGTAACTGCTGCGATTCAAAAAAAGAGAATATACTCATGTGACTTGAACATATGAAGTACATCGGCAATAAATTACCGTTGGTTCCCTCATCTCCAGCCAATTGCTCACCATCATCTTCATGTGGCACAATGTTGACATCATCTTCCTCCCAAGCTATCTTGAACAAATCATCAAACTGCACCGAGTACTTATCCTGCAGGACCATGGGGCAATCAGAATATAATGCCAAAACTGCAGGGATGTGGATGTTGAACCGTAAGCATTTAAGCTGGTTACCGTTGTGTCATTTGATGAAGATGCACGTTCCTCGACATGCTCACCATCCCGGAAACACTTCCAGTGGCTGTTATACTCCTATAACATAAGACAGGAGTTCTTAGTTGTTACTGCCCCAGTTTAGAACACCCATATCATTCCTTAGTAAAATAAACACACACTTTGATATTTAACAAGGATCGCACCTTCAACTGGCCTAAGTCCAATCCCTTGGGGAACCCTGGCGGAGCATTTAGAGCAGGGCCACCACTCATAAGCTCACGCACCCAATCACCATTCCGCGCACCCTCTGGAAATGCCTTCTCCAATGCTGCCGCCTCAGCTGCATCGTCCTGCAGGCCTCCCGGGCGGAATGGCCGGCTGTTGACTCTCCCCCTCACAAAGTCCTTCGCCGGGCCTGGCATTCGTGGCACCATCCCCCCAGTCCCCGAGTCGAACACTTGGCTCATCTCCATCTGCACAGACTCAGGGTCCCAAACTTGCTGCTCAGACGACGACAACGATTGTCGACGAAAAGGTGGCTCCCAGGCGGGGACGAGCATGGTGCGCGGGGCAGAGGGCTCCAAAGGCGGCCTGGCGAGGTCGAACCAGTCCACATCCCACACCCTGCCGTCATTGGCCGCGGTAGGGACATAGAGCTCGGGGTTGAGGTAATTGGCCTCGAGGTACTCCTTCACGCTGCTGGGACTCTCGGGTGGGTAAGCCGGCGGCTGCGGTTGCCATTACAGCATCGGTGGGTTTAGGGTTCAGACTCCGCACTGAGTAAAAACGTGCAGTGTGGGACGGAGTTTGGGGGGTCGCGTACCAGGACGAAGTCGGGCACGGGGCTGAGCGGGTGGGGGGTAGGGTCGAGGCGGAGGTGGCCGCCGTGGCCGGAGAAGCTGATGCGGAACGGCACCTCGCTCGCCGGCGATGGGGTGAGGTCGTCCATGGAGGCCCCCGCAACGAGGCGGTCCGTTAATCTCTCCACTGAACTCTGCTTCTTCACAAGCTTAATAGGGCGCGGGCGGAGCTAAGCGGCGGCCGGAGTTGGGGCCGCGGGGCGGCGCCGGAGATGGGGGGTGGGGATGGCGTCGGCTCGGTTGCTCGCATACTCCGATGCGTCGGGTCACTCTGGCTAGTCGTCTCGCTTCGCCCGCTCGGCTACGCGGTGCGACTCGACCAGATTAGAGCATGTCCAACCGGCGCGACATGACTACGTTTTCCTTTTTTTTTTAGGAGAGACTGCCTTTTTCTTAGGGAAAACCACATGGCAACTTTATTGATCATCATGTCAAAAAAAACTTTACTGGTCATCAAAAAAACTGTACATTGTATGCAAGGGAGATTACAAGATAATCAAGGGCCTACTCATGCCAAACAACAGTGCAAGCCATGGCATTGCTTTAATTTCAGCAAAGCCCTTACCTAAGCTACTACAATGTTCATACGTAGTCGCAGTAGCTTCACTAGAGTTTTCTCCATCTTGCACTATGTTGATAACGTCGAGGCAATCATTGTTAACAACTATACAGTTGTAGTTTATTTGTCCAACCAGGATACAATCATCACGAAGAGTTTTATCTTTTGTCGAGGGCACGTCCACAATATGGTTGGGTGAAAATTCGCTGCAAGAAATGAACCATGATCATCTTGAACTACTAGTTCCTTGAATTTCATGCTTGCAAGAATTGAGAACGCAACGTCAACATTTAATTTGGTCAATCCCGTCACTGGCTTCACCCAGCCAACCTTCCAGGCAGTGGCGGAGCCAGGATTCGATTATAGGGAGGGCCGAGTACGTATATTGATCTAATCTTGTTGGTAATTACTCGTAGCTCCTATTAAAATTGTCGATCGTTGGGGGGGGGGGGGGCAGGCCCCTGCTCGTCCCCCCTGGCTCCGCCCCTGCTTCCAGGGTATAGAATTTTTTTACAACTTTTCAATAATTTAGAGCTAATGCAAGAATGGATCGGCCCAATCGCATTGGCTTCTCGATATTTTTGCCATGGACTACCTGACATCTCTCCCACCACAAGTATCATGGGGTGTTGGCAGCTAATTCACCCAACCCTTAGTCGCCAAAAAGGTGCGCCTTTGATTATTCTTAATCAAAAAATGACTCTAAGAAACAAATTAACCCCTGTCATTGGGCCTAACGGCTCGGCAAACAGCTACAGAATGACCAGAAATAGTGGCAGATTTCTACTGTTTTAGGATATTAAAAGAAGGCATGCTATGTATCTTCAAATGGATTTTTACAAACCAGACATGAACTACCGCTCTAGATATGTCAATTGGCAAGAATACTACAACAATGGTGTTTTCCATAAGTCTCCAAGAAAGTATTTTTACTTGGGAGCCTACTCTCGGCGACCAGACTTTTATGCATGCCAGTCTTATTTTGGAGGTTGATTGACCATTGTTGGTTCAAGCTTACGACAATGTTGAAACTATCATTCCGTGGTATAAGCTGATGAACTGGAAATACCTAGTTTCCTTGTTGTTCCAGGCGACAAAGTCTTCCATCGGTCCAATGGCTAAGGGACTGTTCAGAATTTTATTTCGCATATATTGCTAGAAAAATATCTTTTACTAGCTCTTCATCCCATTACTAGTTGTTCACTTGTGCAATACTTGGATGTGAAATAGGTTATAAATGCAATTTTCAAAAGATTGAAATGCATGTGGAATGGTTGTGTGGTGAAGGATTATGGTCAACGATGATATGATGCAAAATAGGAATATTTGTATATTTGAAATCGCACTGTAATGGTCGCGAAACTGCACATAAATGATTGAAAAAGTGTTTCAAAATGCATGTGGATTTATATAATTTTTTTTCTTTTTTGAGAAGGATGTTGAAACCCTTGGCCTCTTCATATAAGGATAACACATCCATTTTTCTTATATTATTAAACAAAGCTTGGCAAAACAAACACATAGATCAACCCGAAGCCCCTTCCCGGCGACCTTTATCGTTATACCTACAAGCTTGATGTTGTGTGACGGAGTTGAATCTGACAGATCTCAGGTAGAGGTCCCGAGCTGGCACTCTTGGCACGATAATAACATGACACAAGAGGACACGATGTTTGCCCAGGTTCAGGCTCTCTCGATGAGGCAAAACCCAACGTCCAGCTTTGTTTGTATTTGATTGTGGGTGAGGTATAAGGTATAGGTTGATCTACCTCAAGATCGTGCGTGAATGAGTTGGCCTCTATGGTCTAAACCCTTTGGTTTATATAGACAGCGAATGTGTGCCTAGGGTTACACATAGATCGGTTGCATTTGAAGATAAGCATGCTAAAGGTTGCATTCGTGCCTTGGATTATGCATCAAATCTTTAGAAGATTCCATCTCGATCCTTTCATGGGGCCTGGCGAATGTGGCCCACTTGTTAGTTATATGGGGGTCCTTGGCCTGGCCCACGCCATCGGAGTCCGACATGGTTAACACCTCCTTATCCAGGACAACATCAATGTGCCATGGCCTTGCACCAACACACAACAACTAATTCGATGACTTCACAAAACGGCACAACGGTGAGCCGAGAGCACCAACCGGTCTAGCAGACGCTCAGCGCGCACCGTATTCGCACGCTCTAGAATTTGTTGCCGCCATCTTCCATCATCCCATCTTCAGGAGGGATCAATACATTGACCTTGTCAGGCATTTCTGTCGTCGATGCCACCACGCCGCCAGACAACGTCACCATCCTGCGCGCGCCCACCAATATGCGTTCGTCGCCGAGGCCCCACTGCACCACGCCGCAGGGGCGAATCTACGTGCATGTCTGTGGGGGCGAATGCCCCCACTCGTTTTGTCAGCCCACTTATACTAGGCCCAACATATGTAGCGTTGCCCCCACTCAGCCCAAAGGATTTGCCCCCACTCCTTTCTTTTTTTGTTGTATGTTTAAAGCCTGTGTATGAGAAATAAATAAGTTATTAGCCCAGCAGCCCATCCAAAGAAAATACGAGCAGGCCTTATGCATACGATCGTGGTTCTCAATTGGATAATCGCTAGCGCTAGAATAGTGAAAGGATCGAGAAGAGGTGTCTAGAGGGGGGTGATTAGACACTAAGTCCCAAAAGTTGTAGTTTTTAATTTCTTTAAGTTGAAGTGGAGTTTTGGCACAAGTTTAATAAACAGAAGACATATCAAGCAAGCATGCAAAGAGTATATGAGTAGCGGAAAGTAAAGCATGAAACTTGCAAGAATGTAAAGGGAAGGGTTTGGAGGATTCAAACGCAATAGGAGACTCGGATGTTTTTGTCGTGGTTCCGATAGGTGGTGCTATCGTACATTCACGTTGATGGAGACTTCAACCCACGAAGGGTAACGGCTGCGCGAGTCCACGGAGGGCTCCACCCATGAAGGGTCCACGAAGAAGCAACATTGTCTATCCCACCATGGTCGTCGCCCACGAAGGACTTGCCTCACTAGCGGTAGATCTTCATGAAGTAGGCGATCTCCTTGCCCTTGCAAACTCCTTGGTTCAACTCCACAATCTTGTCAGAGGCTCCCAAGTGACACCTAGCCAATCTAGGAGACACCACTCTCCAAGAAGTAACAAATGGTGTGTTGATGATGAACTCCTTGCTCTTGTGCTTCAAATGATAGTATCCCCAACACTCAACTCTCTCTCACAGGATATGGATTTGGTGGAAAGAAGATTTGAGTGGAAAGCAACTTGGGAAAGGCTAGAGATCAAGATTCATATGATAGGAATGGAATATCTTGGCCTCAACACAACTGTAGGTGGTTCTCTCTCAAAAAAAGTAAGTTGGAAGTGTAGGTTCGTTCTGATGGCTCTCTCTACGAATGAAGAGGAGGTGGAGGGGTATATATAGCCTCCACACAAAATCTAACTGTTACACACAACTTGCCAATCTCGGTGGGACCGAATTGATAAACTCGGTCGAACCGATTCAGCAAAGCTAGCGACCGTTTGGATTTTCGGTGGGACCGACTGGATCAACTCGGTGGGACAAATGTGCTAGGGTTAGGGTAAATCCAAAACTCGGTTTGACCGATTACTCAAACTCGGTGGGATCGATTTGGGTAATAAGCGAAACAGAGAGTTGGCCAAGCAAACTCGGTGGGGCCGATTTCATATCTCGGTGGAACCGAAAATATTGCAATAGGTAACAGAGAGTTTGCAAGCCCATCTCGATGAGACTGAGATCCCTATCAGTGAGACCGAACTGATTAGGGTTTGTGGCAGTGGCTATGACATCTAAACTCGGTGGCGTCTGATAGAAAGAATCAGTGGGGCCGAGTTTGTGAGAAAGTAGTTGAGGGCTTTGGAGCATATTACTAAGCATTTTGAGCAAGAGCCTCATTAAGCAACACCTCATCCCTCCTTGATAGTATTGACTTTCCCTATAAACTTAATGTGATCTTGAATCACTAAAATATAAAATGTAGAGTCTTGAGCTTTGAGCTTGAGTCAATCCTTTTGTCCTTAGCATTTTGAAGGGGTTCCACATCCTCTAGTCCATGCCACTTCATTGTTGAACTTATCTGAAACATACTAGGTAAAAGTGTTAGTCCAACAAAAGATATGTTGACATTAATTACCAAAACCACCTAGGGAGCACTTGTGCTTTCAATCTCCCCCTTTTTGGTAATTGATGACAACATACATCAAAGCTTTAGATAAAGATATAGAGAATAGTAAGTAAAGCTTTGGAAAGACATGTAACATGCATAGGCTCCCCCTACATGTATGCAATCATGTGAATATGGAATATAGAAGCATGTGAATGCATAAACATGACAGAGTAAGCAATGAGTTACATGTATCTTGGATATATGCATCAGAGCAAATGATGTGAATATGAGAAATGTACCTTCATGCTTATGAGTCCTTCTTGCAAACAGTATGTACATCAGCAAGAATTTCTCATACACATGACTGTGATGCATATACTTACCTTGTGGTCT